GCAGCAGCTCAGGGGCCACAGTTACTGAGAGCAGCAGCTCAGGGGCCGGACATCCAACGAATAAAGTCATTCTGTAAATAAACTAAGTATTAAATGATCTGTTACATTTTATGGTACATTTGTTTATTTTGTTGCAATGAATCATAAATGCAATAAAAAGAACCCAGCTCAAAAAAAAATAAAAAATTATATATATATATATATATATTTATTTATATATATATATATATATATATATACATATACTATACACTATATAGAAGCGGAGGAGCAGCGCTGCGTGGTGCTCGAGAGAAGTTCAGAGTTTACATCAGAGCTGCTGCAGGCCTCCATCCAAACTCACCTGGATAATAATTAATTCTATTACGGATCACTTTGTTGTCCCCTGTTGACCTGAAACGAGCTTGGACCATGCCTTTCATATCAGGAGGATTTTCTGGCAGCTTATTTGCTGCGAATTATCTGTTTCTGCCTGTTGGTTCTGGACCCAGCTTCTGTTTCCCATGGGAGCATCCATCCATCTTCAAAGGGGGGCCGGAGCCCCCCTCAGCCAACTCAAACTGCAGTTGGGCCACCTCGTCGGATTTGTTTACCCATTTGTTTTGTGACGCGTTATGGTCTGAGACTTTTCTGCATCATTCATATTATTGTCATTATTTTCAGATCTCAGATTATCTGGAGTCACTGAATCTTGTTAATACACCTGAATCTGTCCATCACTGCAACTTTCACTGTTTTTGGGTTCTGAATGATCACGTCTTCATTAATGTTTCTCATGGTTCGATTATGGGGCTAATTGTCACACTGTTAACTCCTGTAATTACACATCAGTCACAAAAAAACTCAAGAAAATGTCTGATAATAATGTTGTTACTGCTCTCAGGGATTCAGCCCAACCCTGGACCCCCCACTTATTATATGACACCAAATGACTTTAAAAACGTGTCAGGGCTTCATTTCCTGCATGTAAACGCTCGTAGCCTTCTGAAAAAACTTGATGCTGTGAAAATCCTGGTCAGTTCTTCTGGGGCAGATGTTATCTTTATCTCTGAATCCTGGCTCAACAAATCTGAAATGAATAATGACCTGGTAATCAATGGATTTAACATCTACCGCTGTGATCGTCAAACAAAAAAAAAAAAAAAAGAAGGGGTGGGGGGTGGAGTCATTATTTACATCAGAGAGTCTCTGGTTTCTAGTCTTGTGTCTTCTAAAACAATTCCAAACCAGTTTGAAGCCTTATCTGTAAACATCACCTTGAATGGAGGCCAGATTTTAACTGTAGTCTGCTGCTACCGCCCCCC